TTTGTTGGCAGGGTCAGTCAATGAACTCACATGCAGATTCTTACTGTTAAACCAATCAATACTTGCATTGAGTAATGCAATTTGACCTTTACTTCATTAGAAAATTGTGTATTGTTGTGACAAGAATGAACTGTTGTGTAAGTAACCAATAATTTTGTCAGAGCAAAAGAGTGTTAGCTGTGCATACTGACACTTTCACTTTCTGATTACTAGAAATCAGGAGGACGTTTCAAGAGTGAAAGTAGAAGCAGTACAGACGTGTTTACATAACATGTTAAGATAATACGACTTTTGATCTGGTATTTGACAACCCTCTCTCATCCAAACCTGGTGTTGTGACTAGTTTGTTTAATTTCTGTGTTGGTTGACATCGTGAGAGTATGGTGCAGGTAAACAAATTGATATTCGCAGTGAACGCTCCGATAGAGAAATGCTCTGAATGTAGAAATGGACAATCTGACAATGCTCTGAATTTACGAATGCCCAGTGCGCACTCTGACACTCCAGATTTAATTTACGAACACACCGATGGTGGGCAGAGCTATTGAGATCCTAATGGTGTGTTCTAGCACGTATCTTGATATTTCCGTTAGGGAAAACGCCCATTTTGTGAAGTACCCGTGTGTAATAACTCAACTCGCTTTTGCAATTCTTCTAAACAACGTGATTTTTTAAAAACGTTTGAAAAGGGTAAAGTTTACAAAACTTAGTCCACTCTGTTCATAACATATTCTAGTTTTGTGAACAGAAAACTGTATTGAGTTAAAATGTTTCATCGAGAAAATGTGCAGAATGTCGGCCAAAATCCATCTAGTTTCATCCTTCTCCCGCTGCCGGCCAGTGGGCTTCCTCTCACAAACCCATGACAGGATTAAACAGATGGATATACAGATAAGATTTACATGGGTCCGAACCCATGTGGGGGTGGAGGGGAACGAGGCAGTAGATGAAATGGCTAAACAAGCACTTAGTAGTGGGGATGTTGATGTTGAAGTTTCAATGAGCAAGGCAGAGGCAAAAAGACTGATATATACAGTGATGGTAGTGATGGCAGGAGCAGTGGAATTACGATAATAAGGGAAGGCATGTATTTCAAGTACAGAGGAAAGTCGGGGAGGGGAGGACGGCAGGAAGGGACAGGAGAGAGGAGGCTATTTTTTTTTTTACAAGATTAAGGGTGGGACCCAGCCAGTTGAATAAGACATTAAAATGTGATAGGAAAGCATCCAACAGGAAAGTGATTTATTGTCAGGAAACAGAGACCGTGGAGCATGTATTTCTACAGTGTGGGCAGTATCAGAGGGAAAGAGAGATGATGAGATTTAGTATGAGGGAGAAGGGTATACAGGAAATTAGTTTACAGAGTATATTGAGTAGAACGTCATTAGATATAGTCTCAAATATTTTGTTATCTTTTTTAAGAGCAACGGGGCTGGCAAGTAGGATTTAGTTTCTCCCTGTCTCTGGCCACACTTCAGTACAGTAGGTGGCGGTAATGCACCATAACGTTGGATGCCAACCGCCGATAAACACCACTGAAGAAGAAGGACTTCTTCTCACTACCATATTTGTTAGTGAGTGGAAACGCCAAGCAGATGCTTCACATTTATACATCTGGTGAAATATCTGTCTCATTGTTTTATCTGTGCATTTCAAGAGTGAAAGTAGAAGAAGTACAGACAGACAGATCAAGTTAAGATAATACGACTTTTGATCTGGTATTTGACAACCCTCTTATCCAAACCTGATGTTTGTGACTAGTTTGTTTATTTTCTGTCTTGGTTGACATCGTGACAGTATTGTGCGGTAAGTAGCTAAACTAATTTATATTCTTAAATTGCACATATTTTTCTTGCCTCAGTCACAATCTATGTAATTACCTATGTATTTCATTAACAGGTGATCCTGTCTGTGTTGCTTTGCAGGGTCAGTGAAATACAGTCAGTCAATGAGCTCACAAATTCGTACAGATTATTATTGTTATACCAATCAATACTTGCATTGTATAATGCAATTTGACCTTTTCTTTATCAGAAAATTGTTTATTGTTGTGACATGACTGAACTGTTGTGAAATTAACCAATAAAAACGAATAGATACATTATTTTTGTCAGAGCAAAAGAGTGTTGGCTGATTATGCGTTGAACGTTATCCCCGACCAACGGGCTGTGCATACTCACACTTTCACTTTCTGATTACTAGAAATCAGGAGGACGTTTCAAGAGTGAAAATAGAAGCAGTACAGACGTGTTTACATAACATGTTAAGATAATATGACTTTTGTTCTGGTATTTGAAGACCCTCTCTCATCCAAACCTGATGTTGTGACTAGTTTGTTTCATTTCTATGTTGGTTGACATCGTGAGAGTATGGTGCAGGTAAACAAATTGATATTCTTAAATTGGGTGTATTATTCTTGCCCCAGCCACAAACCATGTAATTAGGCTATGTACTGTATTTCCATGTATGGGTAGCTGCAGCCCAATATGGCCTACCGGAGTATGGGCGAGTGTGTGTGTCGAAAGGAGTGAGAGTATGGAAAGCGAGTAAACTAATTGGGCAGATTTGTTGCCACTCAAAACCGTTTTCGTGGCTGATTGGGCCGCACAACAAGTAAACAGGAGACCATTGCACCAGTGTTGCATAAACGTGCCTGCCGACTTAAGGTGCTTCCTACTTGGTATCATGGTAGTGGCGCCGGCGGTAGCTAAGGTGGCCATTGTTTCTCTCACGTGATTTTATTTAAAGTAGGAAAGCAGCCTAGCATACACAATAAATAACTAATTTGATAACCATCTATAATGAACAAAAATATAAACGCAACATCCAACAATTTCAATGATTTTACTGAGTTACAGTTCATGTAAGGAAATCAGTCAATTGAAAGGAATTTATTAGACCGTAATCTATGGATTTCACATGACTGGGCAGGGGCCCAGCCATGGGTGGGCCTGGGAGGCAGTGGTGTAAAGTACTTAAGTAAAAATACTTTAAAGTACTACTTAAGTATCTGTACTTTACTTTACTATTTATATTTTGGACAAATTTTACTTTTACTTCACTACATTCCTAAAGAAAATAATGTACTTTTTACTCCATACATTTTCCCTGACACCCAAAAGTACTCGTTACATTCTGACAGGAAAATGGTGAAATTCAAGCACTTGTCAAGAGAACATCCCTGGTCATCCCTACTGCCTCTAATCTGGCAGACTCACTAAACACATGCTTCGTTTGTAAATGAATGTCTGAGTGTTGGAATGTTTTCCTGGCTATCCGTACATTTAAATAAAACAAGAAAATTGTGCCGTCTGGTTTGCATAATATAAGGAATTTGAAATTATTTATACTTTTACTTTCCACCTCCATGCTTCACGGTTGGGATGGTGTTCTTGGGGTTGTACTCATCCTTCTTCTTCCTCCAAACACCGCGAGTGGAGTTTAGACCAAAAAGCTCTATTTTTGTCTCATCAGACCACATGACCTTCTCCCATTCCTCCTCTGGATCATCCAGATGGTCATTGGCAAACTTCAGACGGGCCTGGACATGTGCTGGCTTGAGCAGGGGGACATTGCGTGCGCTGCAGGATTTTAATCCATGACGGCGTAGTGTGTTACTAATGGTTTTCTTTGAGACTGTGGTCCCAGCTCTCTTCAGGTCATTGACCAGGTCCTGCCGTGTAGTTCTGGGCTGATCCCTCACCTTCCACCTGATCATTGATGCCCCACGAGGTGAGATCTTGCATGGAGCCCCAGACCGAGAGTGATTGACCGTCATCTTGAACTTCTTCTATTTTCTAATAATTACGCCAACAGTTGTTGCCTTCTCACCAAGCTGCTTGCCTATTGTCCTGTAGCCCATCCCAGCCTTGTGCAGGTCTACAATTTTATCCCTGATGTCCCTACACAGCTCTCTGTTCTTGGCCATTATGGAGAAGTTGGAGTCTGTTTGATTGAGTATGTGGACAGGTGTCTTTTATACAGGTAACGAGTTCAAACAGGTGCAGTTAATACAGGTAATGAGTAGAGAACAGGAGGGCTTCTGAAAGAAAAACTAACAGGTCTGTGAGAGCCGGAATTCTTACTGGTTGGTAGGTGATCAAATACTTATGTCATGCAATAAAATGCAAATTAATTACTTACAAATCATGCAATGTGATTTTCTGGATTTTTGTTTTAGACTCCGTCTCTCACAGTTGAAGTGTACCTATGATAAAATTACAGACCTCTACATGCTTTGTAAGTAGGAAAACCTGCAAAATCGGCAGTGTATCAAATACTTGTTCTCCCCACTGTACATACAATCTACTATTCAATGGGGAGGGCATGAACAGCAACAACACCGGGAAACAATGCCCTTCGGTCCCGCTTGACGAGCACTACTGTCCGGCAACAGCGTGGGAAGTAGCTACCTAGTAGCCAATATCAGGGTGACCGTCACAGTAAGCACACACATACAACGCATGAAGTAACAGTACACCCCATCATCAATACTTTTAATAAAACAATTACGTCAGTTTTATAACTGAAAATGTACAATTATTTGTGTAAAACTAACAGTGAAATATGACTCAGACTCATCCTCTGGCTTCAAAACAGAAGTCCAAACTATAGCTCAATTTAAGGTAGTTGCGTGATAAAAAATGAAAGAATAAAAACACAGTTCAATCAAAACCGTCTAACCTATAGCAAAGCGCTTTCGACACACCCACTCCTTTCCACACGCCCACTACTTTCCTTTCGACACACCCACTACTTTCCTTTCGACACACCCACTCGCCCATATTGATATGGTCGCCATATTGGGATGCAGCTACCCCCTTGTCTATATTTCAGTTACAGGTGATCCTGTCTGTGTCGCTCTGCAGGGTCAGTGAAATACAGTCAGTCATGAACAATAAGGAGGTAAAGATGCTGCAAATGTTCAATCGACCTCTCTTTCCTAGTTTTTTATTCATTTTATTCTATTGATAAGTTATTGACATTAGGGATATTTGCAGATGGAAATCTTAGCACCTTTAAGTAGGCCTCAAGAGGACCTCTTGTCAGATGCAATGGGTGACCACACAGCAACAGGAGAGCCAAACCAACTTCCTACAGATGTTAACAAAGACCCTGACATTGTAAACAAACTTTGGTTCTTATCAGCTGATATTAACAACTGTACAATTAAATTAGTATATATTAATTAAATGGTATATATGCGACGTTTAATTAAATGTTCAATATGCGATGTTAATAAGGGTTACATCATCATACAATAAAGCTTTGTAATCTTATCAATTGTTTATGATACAAAGTTGTGTAATTTCTGAACTTTTCTCTCTATACTGTGTATTTTAACTTGCAGACTGACTGGGAGTTTATTGAACCCAGTGAAGCCCTTGAGTATAAAAACCTGGAGGTATTTATTTTCTAATTTCAAACTTTGCTACTTTGCGCAATGGCTGATGTGATTATACAAAAATATACAATATATTATGCTGGTGTCCAGACACTTTCCTAGGGATGATTAAATGTATTGAATCTGGACTGTCAACATCACATTATCCCACTTAGCTAAAGCCTAGGCATTAGCTCTGGGAGCTAAAAACAAGCAATCAGCAATGAAACAATCAGCAGGGTTACTTATTACATGGCTACACTACACCACCCTTTGACCTCCTCTCTGTAGCAACCCCAGCAGCTGATAGACATTGATTGGGTGATCAGAGTGAGTCACAGCACCAAAAAAACGGTTAACTTTTATACAAAGTTGAGAGAATTTACTTTTTGGGTTCATTTCTGAACTTCTCTCTGTTGCAGCAGGATTCTCCAAAAAGTAAGTAACTACCTGTTACAAATTGAACGTTGATATTATACCCAGAGGTGGGCAGCTTATTACGTTTCCCTGCGCTGCAGCACAGGTTAAGAAAAGTGCTGCTGCAAAGCGGATATCACTGCACAATCAGGGGCATATTTCAGAAATGTCAACTATGTATTTCATTGCAATTTTGCCGCTTGTAAATGTACCACAATGTACCATTGTTGCAGCACAGGCATTTTTTACATACATGTTTTTTCTCTCTGTAGAGCCAAGGATAGCTATACTAGTTACTGTAGCTGGGAATACTCTGGGGTCTCATGAGGGCATAACACAGCAACTCACCGCAACCACTACCGGTACTGAGGTGACATCACAAGAGGAGAGTGATGTCATCCTGGTTTTCTGTCCCATCGTCTCTCGTGCTGGGACTGATATTGAGGCAGCACTGCAGCAGATTCCAGGTAGTTCAGTAATCTGACCAAATTCCTCTGACAGCTACTGTCTTCCATGTTTAGGGTCAAAATAAAAGTAATTGACAATGGCAACAGTAATTTATGCATATTTTTACATTTAGCATACATTACTAGGCTACACATATCCATGGTTAAGAGTTGACATGTATTTTGTTTCCTTTTTGACAGTTGGTAAACCTGTCATTCTGGTAGTGCTGCATCACACCTTCAACCCAGACTACACCGTACCTGACAGCAGCAGACTAGTGACCAGAGGTGATGTAATACTCACAGTGGACTGTCTCTTCCATGAGAGCAAGGGACTATTGGAGTGTCATCGCAATGAAGAAGCAGTCAAAGAGATTCTGAAGAAGCTTAATATACATCCTGAGGTATTCTATCATTTTTACACCATTTTAAATACAATGTGACTCTATAGAATAATTTTTATACAAGGAGAACCAGTTTTTATTTATTGTTATTTTTTCACAGATTGCAGTTTCTTCCTTTGACCCTCGTATGATCATCGGGTGGTTCTTAACTGAGGTTTTCCAATTGTTTAAGTCAGTTCTAAATTCATGTAGGTATATTCATTGATATTATCATTGTAATTACATGAACACAGGTCAAATTGATATCACATCAAGATAAGCTGAAAGTACAATTTCAAATGTTATGTTAGCATCAGTAATCAAAATTGAATTCTGCAACCTGACACCACACTAGCTCCTATTTGTACTGTGTTAATTGTGCCTGGGTGTTTATAGTGTGAATAAGTCAATGATGCTGACATTGCCTTTATGAATAACAGGAACATTAAAGGGATACTTGGGGATTTTGGCAATGAGGCCCTTTATCTACTTCCCCCGCAGAGTCAGATGAACTTGTGGATATGATTTTTATGTCTATGCATGCTAGTAGATACCCGTAGCCTTCCAGTCATGGGTATCTGCTAGCATGCTAGTAGAGACCCATAGCCTTCCAGTCATTGCGCTAACACTAGTTAGCAATTGCACTAGCACTAATTAACAAACTTCCTTCAAACTGCAGAGACATAAAAATGGTATCCACGAGTTCATCTGACTCTGGTGAAGTAGATAAAGGGCCTCTTTGCCAAAATTCCTAAGTATACATTTACATTTTAGTCATTTAGCAGACGCTCTTATCCAGAGCGACTTACGGGAGCAATTAGTGTTAAGTGCCTTGCTCAAGGGCACATCGACTGATTTGTCACCTAGTCGGCTTGGGGATTCGAACCAGTGACCTTTAGGTTACTGGCCCAGCGCTCTTAACCACTAAGCTACCTGCCACCCCTTTAATGAAAAACATATCCAATGGTGTTTAGGGTTTAGGATGACACAATAAGGGCCTGTGGCTCATAAAGCTGCAGGATATTAGATTTATATCAGGCCAAGATACTATCAGTAACATCTGATGTGGTTTTGTTTCTTTAGGTTGGCAAAGGGTGGGTTGGCCAGAATCGCTGAGTCTTACCTCAACCACTGCAACAGATGAAGTGCCTGTGTGTGATCATGAAGTGCAAAATGAGGATGAAGCACATTGCTCCCCAGCCATTAAGTTGTAATAATGAGTGAAAAAGTGGATTGAAGTCTGATTTAGAAAAATCTCTATTGTTAGTCAAAACATTTGGCAATTGAACCCTAGAAATATAACTAACTATAAACCTTAGAATATGCACGTATAGCCTAAGTGAGTCTGGAACAGCTAAAGTGTGTTTTGTCAAAATTGGGGAATAATTAACTCCATTAATGTAGATAAATATAAAGACAATGTAATGTAATGCTTGAGACATCTTTTGATGGGAGTATAAATAAAAATATATATACAGTGAAGGAAAAAAGTATTTGATCCCCTGCTGATTTTGTACGTTTGCCCACTGACAAAGAAATGATTCAGAGGAGAACTGGGTGAAAGTGTTGTGGTCAGATGAGACCAAAATCGAGCTCTTTGGCATCAACTCAACTCGCCGTGTTTGGAGGAGGAGGAATGCTGCCTATGACCCCAAGAACACCATCCCCACCGTCAAACATGGAGGTGGAAACATTATGCTTTGGGGGTGTTTTTCTGCTAAGGGGACAGGACAACTTCACCGCATCAAAGGGACGATGGACGGGGCCATGTACCGTCAAATCTTGGGTGAGAACCTCCTTCCCTCAGCCAGGGCATTGAAAATGGGTCATGGATGGTTATTCCAGCATGACAATGACCCAAAACACACGGCCAAGGCAACAAAGGAGTGGCTCAAGAAGAAGCACATTAAGGTCCTGGAGTGGCCTAGCCAGTCTCCAGACCTTAATCCCATATAAAATCTGTGGAGGGAGCTGAAGGTTTGAGTTGCCATACATCAGCCTCGAAACCTTAATGACTTGGAGAAGATCTGCAATGAGGAGTGGGACAAAATCCCTCCTGAGATGTGTGCAAACCTGGTGGTCAACTACAAGAAACATCTGACCTCTGTGATTGCCAACAAGGGTTTTGCCACCAAGTACAATTCATGTTTTGCAGAGGGGTCAAATACTTATTTCCCTCATTAAAATGCAAATCAATTTATAACATTTTTGACATGCTTTTTTCTGGATTTTGTTGTTGTTATTCTGTCTCTCACTGTTCAAATAAACCTACCATTAAAATTATAAACTGATCATGTCTTTGCCAGTGAGCAAACATACAAAATCAGCAGGGGATCAAATACTTTTTCCCTCACTGTACACTACCATTCAAAAGTTTGGGGTCACTTAGAAATGTCCTTGTTTTCGAAAGAAAAGCAATTTTTTACAGAACAGCGCAAACTGGCTCTAACCAGAATAGAAAGAGGAGTGGCAGGCCCCGGTGCACAACTGAGCAAGAGGACAAATACATTAGAGTGTCTAGTTTGAGAAACAGACGCCTCACAGGTCCTCAACTGGCAGCTTCATTAAATAGTACCCGCAAAACACCAGTCTCAACGTCAACAGTGAAGAGGTGACTCCGGGATGCTGACCTTCAGAGTTGCAAATAAAAAGCCACATTTCAGACCTCCCAATAAAAATAAAAGATTAAGTTCGGCAAAAGAACACAGACACTGGACTTTTTCTTTGCAACTCTGCCTAAAAGATCAGCATCCCGGAGTCGGCTCTTCACTGTTGACGTTGAGACTGGTGTTTTGCGGGTACTATTTAATGAAGCTGCCAGTTGAGGACATGTGAGGCATCTGTTTCTCAAACTAGACACTCTAATAACAAATATTGTTTTTGTAAATGATGTCTGAGTGTTGGAGTGTGCCCCTGGCTGACCGTAAATAAAATAAAAACAAGAAAATCGTGCCGTCTGGTTTGCTTAACATAAGGAATTTTATGTATAGTATTTACTTTTACTTTTTTTACTTTTTCTCAAGTATGACAATTGAGTACTTTTTCCACCACTGTACTTAAGTACATTTAAAACCAGATACTTTTAGACTTTTACTCAAGTTGTATTTTACTGGGTGACTTTCACTTTTACTTGAGTTATTTTCTAATAAGGTATCTTTACTTTTACTCAAGTATGAACACGTAGTACTTTTTCCACTACTGTAGGATAGGACGTTTCCAGAACACAAAGGTAATAGCTGGGATCAGACAAGGGAGGGCACGGGAGGGGAGACTGGCTGACCTGACTATTACCAGAAGCTGCACTTCACATCAACTAGAGGAATGCAGTTCTCGCTTACTGCACACTCCCAACCACCATTCTCCCAGAGGCCAGCACAGCTTGAACAAAGGCAAAACTATAGTGAAACACTGTCAATTACTAGCTATGAATATTTCAAAAGCTATTGCATATTTCAAAACATAGTCTTTATCCATCCTGTTTATGACATAAAAATTAAAATAAAGCAAAACATGCCCCCTCGCAAAAGTATCGATTACAAGTTTATATCTTAGGCCAATACACTGGAAGTAAAACATTTTACTAACGTAAAAAACAAAAACTGATTTGTAATAACAACTGAAATATTTTCCAACTGAGAAATTAAAGCAGTGATCCCAATAGAAGTTCACAGTCTCAGTAGCATGGTTTCTTATCAGTTTAACCTTGTTGTGGAATCAAACAAAGATACCATAGAGTAATTAAGTAATAATACATAAGAGGCCATGTTTTATGACATTTTTATCATGGCTGTGATGTGGTCATAGCCACGAGGCTTTTATACAACGGGTTACCAGCATTAAAAATCAAAACTATTTCCCAAACCATCCATCTTTAAACAAAACATGATGCTACATTCACTAACACTGGTTGTAAAGTGACATTTTAGGTCATTCTTTGGTCATTAGTTCTTTTCGTATTGACTGCCATGTAAAGCAAAACTACCCAAGTGCTGGTTGATAGTTCCAGAACCTTGGTTTCCAGGGACGCTGTCCATGGTCCTGAAAACAGCGCACGTCGGGTCTATGCATAGGATAAATTGAATGTCAGATCGAAACGTTGTAAATTATATGGGCGCTATCCATGGTTCTGAAAATAGTGCTGAAACATTGTAGCAAAGACATTGATACAGCAGATCAGAATAGAATCCACAATGACATTTTTTTCCGGGTGGTCACAGCTCCGACAGCTATTTATTTGTGATACACATTGAATTGCACATTTCCATTCAGCCGTTTTATTATAACATCCATACTATAATGAAGGTTCAGAAGCCAATGGGTCTTTTTCCAATTGTTTTAATTTCCAGATGGTGTGTTCCTGGATCCTTGGTTGTATCAGGGCAGTCAGGCGTTGTAAGTCCATCAATAATTAAAACTAAATTCTACAACATTACACTATTTACAGTTACTTATATACACGTTTTGTTCATAACTAATAACAGCATAATCCATATACGTAGTTGTTGGTAATTATGACATGTTTTTATACCGAAGTTATATTGTTTGCATTTCAGAAACATTGACTCTATTGTGATAATTGTACTTTACTGTAGCTAACTAACATACAGCTTTTTATGTTTGCTACTATCTTACAGGTTGCCAGACATCACCATTTGCATTTGTTGTTGGAAAAAATATGAAATGCTAATGCGCATTCTAAGTAACAGCAAATATGGCAGCCGGCTGCAAATTGAGCACACACACGCACCCCTCCGCGCGCTGCTCCTACTCTGCATCTTTTTTTGCAGTGAGAATGTGTAGGGAGGTATTTTGCCAACATCTACTTGGGCATATTAAAACAGTTTAGTTTTTTCAGAACATCTCTGTCATCCGATCCGATATGACTATCAACTGTCAATTTACGGATAGGATTACGAATTCGAGTATGACAATGTCGGCACACCCCTAGCATATACCATCACCCCTAGCATATACCATCACCCCTAGCATATACCATCCCTATATCTCCTGAGTGGCGCAGTGGTCTAAGGCACTGCATCGCAGTGCTAACTGTGCCACTAGATCCTGGTTCGAATCCATATTCTGTCGACCGGGAGACTCATGGGCGGCGCACAATTGGCCCAGCGTCGTCCAGGGTAGGGGAGGGAATGGCCGGTAGGGATGTAGCTCAGTTGATAGAGGATGGCGTTTGCAACGCCAGGGTTGTGGGTTCGATTCCCACGGCGGGCCAGTATGAAAAAATATAAAATATGTATTCACTAACTGTAAGTCGCTCTGGATAAGAGCGTCTGCTAAATGACTAAAATGTAATGTAATGTAATGTAAATGTTTCCTACCCATGTCTCACGCCGATTCCACTGTGTCTTAATCTAACCATGATTGTGTTCCGACTTCAGTGCAGGTCAGTGTAAACAAGCTTAACGGTAGGAATGGTATCTTCTGGCAGTATACTTTTCATAAGTATATAGATAGCCTATTGAAAATATCAGCATAGACATTTGATGGACTCTCCATTCAAATAACCGAATGCAAACACTGGTTATGAGGATCGTTGTCAGGGGGACAGAGGGGGACTCAAACAGGAAGGAATGGCTGCTAACCTTGCTAAGGGACAGTACGGGTAGACATTTATTGAGCTCATTTATTGAATGATTTCACAAGTGTCTTCATGTGCATGCACGTGTAAGATGCTTTCAAATAGCTTATAGCCTACTAGTGCAAATATACATATAAAATCCCTTAATTTCATTTGATTTAATTTAGCTTCAGTCAAATGCATGGCAAAAGGCCCAGACAATGTGTGGTGCTTGATAAACCATGTTATTATCAGGATAGTGTTTCATGTGTACAACTACTGTCCACATTCGCCGTATGATCCAATGTCAGTCATATTGATTCCCCATTAGGCGAATAAGTATGAGCTCCTTAAATCTAGGGCAAGCGTTCATATTGATTACCTGGAATCTGCTGCAGTGGTGCTTCAATATCAGCCCCAAGTAAACAACTTGGAAAAGCTCACTGTGGTAATTTCTGCTATTTGAGATTGTGTTCATAGACAAAGTATCACAAAATATGCATTAAAACAACAAATTGCTGGAAAATGAACTTCATACAATTGATTTAATGTAGCTTGTATGTCACTGTCACAGAATGCTTTCCAAAAAGCCAATCTGTGGTGCTAGGTGAATTATTGAATCATACAATAATTAGAGTGGTGTTTATGTATTACTGCTGATTACACTGTCTCACACACTTCTAATGACATGTTGGTCCTGTCAGCCATTAAATATTGAGGTGAGTGTACACATCCTGGTCTCTTGGACCTTTCATGTGGAAATGCTGCATCACTCCGTTTCTGTTTCTTTATCGTTTTCAAAATAATCAAATCAAATCAAATTATATTGGCCACATGCGCCGAATACAACAGGTGCAGACATTACAGTGAAATGCTTACTTACAGCCCTTAACCAACAGTGCATTTATTTTAATAAAATAAAATAAAACAACAACAAAAAAAGTGTAGAGAAAAAAAAGAGCAGAAGTAAAATAAAATAACAGTAGGGAGGCTATATATACAGGGGTTTACCGGTGCAGAGTCAATGTGCGGGGGCACCGGCTAGTTGAGGTAGTTGGAGTAATATGTACATGTGGGTAGAATTAAAGTGACTATGCATAAATAATTAACAGAGTAGCAGCAGTGTAAAAGGATGGGATGGGGGGGCAGTGCAAATAGTCTGGGTAGCCATGATTAGCTGTTCAGGAGTCTTATGGCTTGGGGGTAGAAGCTGTTGAGAAGTCTTTTGGACCTAGACTTGGCACTCCGGTACCGCTTGCCGTGCGGTAGCAGAGAGAACAGTCTATGACTAGGGTGGCTGGAGTCTTTGACAATTTTGAGGGCCTTCCTCTGACACCGCCTGGTATAGAGGTCCTGGATGGCAGGAAGCTTGGCCCCAGTGATGCACTGGGCCGTACGCACTACCCTCTGTAGTGCCTTGCGGTCGGAGGCCAAGCAGTTGCCATACCAGGCGGTGATGCAACCAGTCAGGATGCTCTCGATGGTGCAGCTGTATAATTTTTTGAGGATCTGGGGTCCCATGCCAAATCTTTTCAGTCTCCTGAGGGGGAATAGGCTTTGTCGTGCCCTCTTCACGACTGTCTTGGTGTGTTTGGACCATGATAGTTTGTTGGTGATGTGGACACCAAGGAACTTGAAGCTCTCAACCTGTTCCACTACAGCCCCGTCGATGAGAATGGGGGCGTGCTCAGTCCTCTTTTTTTCCCTGTAGTCCACAATCATCTCCTTTGTCTTGGTCACGTTGAGGGAGAGGTTGTTGTCCTGGCACCACACGGCCAGGTCTCTGACCTCCTCCCTATAGGCTGTCTCATCGTTGTCGGTGATCAGGCCTACCACTGTTGTGTCGTCGGCAAACTTAATGATGGTGTTGGAGTCGTGCCTGGCCATGCAGTCATGGGTGAACAGAGAGTACAGGAGGGGACTGAGCACGTACCCCTGAGGGGCCCCCGTGTTGAGGATCAGTGTGGCAGATGTGTTGTTACCTACCCTTACCACCTGGGGGCGGCCCGTCAGGAAGTCCAGGATCCAGTTGCAGAGGGAGGTGTTTAGTCCCAGGATCCTTAGCTTAGTGATGAGCTTAGAGGGCACTATGGTGTTGAATGCTGAGCTGTAGTCAATGAATAGCATTCTCACGTAGGTGTTCCTCTTGTCCAGGTGGGAAAGGGCAGTGTGGAGTGCAATAGAGATTGCATCATCTGTGGATCTGTTGGGGCGGTATGCAAATTGGAGTGGGTCTAGGGTTTCTGGGATAATGCTGTTGATGTGAGCCATGACCAGCCTTTCAAAGCACTTCATGGCTACAGACGTCAGTGCTACGGGTCGGTAGTCATTTAGGCAGGTTATCTTAGAGTCCTTGGGCACAAATAGTTGTGATTGCTTTGTTATTGTGATGACACATCAGTAGTCCTCCCTTGCTCTCATGGAACAGAAGGTTTACAGTCTTCATTACATAATCTCTGGTCACTAGTATGCTGCTATCAGGTACAGTGGAGTCTGCATTGAAGGTGTAATGCAGCACTACACTAAACTCTGATCACTGACTAGTGACAGGTTCAGTTCCATGAATTGCTATAGACAAGTGTGATCTTAGTCATAGTTACGTAGTAGTTACGTAGCTAGTAGGGTAAGCATTAACAAAACAAAAACAACTGCTATAATAATAATTCAGAAAGTTTTTATGACTTAGTTAATGGCTATTGATGACCTGGAATCTGCTGCAGTGCTTGACTAATGACTCAAACTGAATTCTTCCGCTGCTCAATGTTCACTAAATACAGCACTTCAGTCTGAGACTGCCATCATTGAAATCGTTTGTGGTGACGTCAAACTGAGGGGTGTTGTACAAAACAAAGTAATCAGTGATTGGATCATCTCTAACCAATCAGAGTATCAAAGCCAATGACTCATTTTCAAAACGGTTTTGGCCGTTTCCGTTTCTGGGACCAATCAGAACGGTTAGAATGTGTTTGCATTCTATAAATTGTCAGGGAGGTACTCAAATCCAGACTCATTGTGGAGAAGAAACTAACGTCCATAGGCGTGGCGAAGCGTTTGGCCGGAACAAGGAGTTTGGGTAGCCAGGCAACTGCAGTACTGCTTCAAAATCTGTCCCAGCACAGTCCTCCCTGGTTCTCATGGAACAGACAAGTCAGTCCACTCTCAGTATTATATCAGGTCTGGTCACTAGTCTGCTGCTGTTAGGTAACAGTACACTCTGGAATTGAAATAAGGATGTAGCTAAACCCTAATCCCAGACCAAGCCTTTTCTGACTGTGAATTAACTTTAAATAATAATTGTGTGAATGCTCCCTGACTGATTAGATAGAAAACATTTACTGCAAGAACAACTCTAGTTTCAGTAGCTAGCTGGCAGTAACTGTGGTTACAGGCTCGATTTTGTCTTTTGAATTTGAGATCATTTGAGTGTCGGTGTTAGTGGGAAAAATGATACAAAGCAAGTGGCAAGTCATCTATGCTCTTATTATTTTTCAAGGATATCACATTGGAAAATGTATATCTGACGGGAAACATGTTTACAATTGACCTTCCTTCCACAGCTGTGAGGTTATCATTGATTCATGGTTGGAACAGCCATGCAGCCAAAAAGCTAAGCATCTTTCTCTGAAATCATTTTCTTAACAAAAGTCCCAATGATGATGACCAAGGTTACAACTATACCACAAATACACTGTAAAAAAGAAGAAAAAATATATATTAGACAGGATATTTTCTTCAGAATAAAAAATGTGTAGGGATCATGACAATACAAAAGCAATATGAAAATTGGTCAATATAACATAATATGTTAGAAATGTCTAATAGAAAAAATATTGGCATACCATGTTCATCGGGTCTTTGGTCTTTAAAAGAAAAAAGAAAAAAAGAAGCACATTAGATATGTTCTTACAGTCCATCATCAACTCATATTCGTTTTTTTCTTGATTTAGCTTGCCTGGCATAAGGGAACCAATAAAATAGTCCCACAAGTGCAAACCCCACCCACTCAGATTTGCCAACAACAGAGTGAAGATATTGATAAATTGATGCTCCACCTCAGGATGTATGTCAAGCTTCTTCCTAATCTCTTTAACGGCTTCTTCATTGTGATGACACTCCAGTAGTCCTCCCTGACTCTCATGGAACAGACAGTCCACTGTGAGCATTATATCCCCTTTGGTCACTAGTCTGCTGCTATCAGGTACGGTGTAGTCTGGGTGGAAGGTGTGATGCAGCACTACCAGAATGACATGTTTACCAACTGTCCAAAAAACAAGGGACAAACAAATAATTTATTCATATCATTAGCGTCTTGATACATGTTCTAGATCAACTCTGATATAGAGATAGAATAGCTAGAAGAGACAGTAATATTGTTTTGGAGGATACTTTTGGGGTTGGCTACCTGGAATCTGCTGCAGTGCTGCCTCAATATCAGTACCAGCACGAGAGACAATGGGACAGAAAGCCATGACGACATCACTCTCTTCTAGTGACATCACTTCAGTGAAGCCTCCTCCAAGTTGTCTCATAAACTGGGTATGAGAACTCATTGTATTGCCAGTGGTGATGGTGTAGTACTTCACCAACCTTGGCACCTCTGTTTTGTAATGGACAAAAAAGAGAAAAGTCAAGTATTGACCCTAAAACTAAAAGTAGCAATGTTTTGGTTTAGATCACTGCCCAGACAGATATAAGCCTAACCTAAGATCTGCCTTAAACATTACTTAAACATTATTTAAAGAAGTGGTAGGCCTGTGTCTGTTAAAATAATTACCTCTGCGTTCCATTTTGGATCTGTAAGGGGAGCGAACAGGTAAAAAATATTTATTAATCATTTAACAGACAATAAAATACATATCTTACTGTATAATATAACAACCAGTGTGCAGACAATGTAAATATTTCAAGTCATCTTTCACTTTCATACTGACTATGACAGTTCCCTCTGAGATAAGCTATGCAGTCTCCCACCCAAGTCCCCTCTTGCCATTATTTGACCCTACAGGAAACAAGAACGTGAAAGTTGTACGTGAATTGCTAATCTATTTTACACATATAATTAGAATCATAAAACCCATTGATTATCCGTCTTAGTTGTTTAAGTCTGGATATCAATTGAACGAACGATACACAGATCAGATCTGCCTTTAACTGTATCATGTGTAAGTTAGTGCTAAATGTAAGCAGGAAAATTGACTTACCGAACCATAATGGTGTGTGAATTTCTTTGGATGATGAGTATTGAAAGACAATCTGACTACCGTCTTTGATGCCCAGAGGAAAGTGAAATACACAGCTTGAGGGAAAAGGGGAGGGGAGATGATTTTATCAGAAACAGTTTCACTTTCATATTGAAGAGACACTATAGAAGGCTTTTAAAACTGCAGCATCACCTATTTTATTCAACTGGCATTTGGTTAAAGACTGGTATGCCATAGTGAACCATTAGCCTCTAAAACAACCTAAAAAGCCTCTTTAACATTCATTGTAAAAGTAAAAAAAAAATAAAAAAAAAAGGGATATAACTTGTCCAGTGTTGCCAACTCATTTTCAGGGGAAGTTGCTAGATGCAGGTCGATTTGTTGCTAAACTGCGTCATCACGTAGAATACACAATAACGTTACTCAAATTGACTGGCCATCTCGGCGACAAATATGATTTTACATTTGTTAGTTTAGATTTGTTTGTTTATTATCACATATTTTTCTTTGTAAAAGTAATATAAACACAACACATTTTATATGATCAGATATTTTATTTTTTAAACACAACACATTGAATTATTGAACAATTACACATTACACATTATTGAACAATTACATGTTATTTATTTTCTGTTTAACTAGTAAACCTACACATTCTGAACAATTAGAGTTTTAAGCAGTGAATTGGTAGTTAGTTAACATGTTACCTAACTGATCAACAATTATAGGTACAAGCTAATAACAAGGTATATATGCTATCTTATTGAACAAGCAACTTAACTCAAATAATGATGTGTGTGCTAGGCATCTCTCTCCAGCTCTCTCCAGGTTGTTGTGCTGCTTGGCTGGCTAGCTGCTCAATGGTTTCCTCCAGATATATTGCCACTGTTCTCGCTCACACTACAGTGCACACTGCCACCATCAGCTTTGTGTCTCCGCTAGTTCCAGAAAGTCCACTCCTTGCAGACGTACTGTAAATATGATGAATCATAGATTGGCAAGGAAATCCTCTTCATCTTCACTGTCCAACTGCATTGTCACGGAGCTGGAACCAGCAGAAGAGGATGGAGTGGCCTTAAAGCTGTATGCTGCTGTGGTGCCAAACTGCTGCAGAACTTCACTTGGTAGTTTATGCTGGTAACAGGTATCACCAGCCAGCTTCAGTCCGCACCAGGAGTATGGAGTTGAGAGTGTGCAGTGACATTCTATTTCTTAACTTTGACTTGACCACACTCATTTGGCTGAACAGCTGTTCAACCTCCGCATTTGAGTGTGGCAATGAGAGGGCAGCGACTGCAGCTTTGCACAGTTCTTCAAATGGATTGGACCCGGAAGAGTCCGTGTAGTTATTCACTTCATTCCTAAACTCGACTGTATTTTCAGTCCCACCTAAACAGATGGAAGTTTCTCCTTTGGGAAACAATGTTATCAATTGTTTGGGGCTGGTACCCCAGTAGCTCAACTACTTTAATAATTTCAGTGGTGCCTTTATTGTGCTTTAGCGTTTCCTTAACACTGAACAAGGCCATGTTTCGCAAGGCTTCTAGGATGTCTGGGAGCCTTGCTTGCAGCTCCTTGCTTAAAGCAACACATGTAGTTGATGCACTGTCTCCGAATGACCTTTTCGTCCTCTGGCGCAAGACTGAGTTGGTACACCGTGCTCTCGAAAAGGTACCCAAGGTATGGTGATGGACTGAGATGTTCATCAATGGCATCCTTCAGGACATCAATTTTTGCCATAGGGTTGACTACTCTGCTGCAAATTGATGTTAAGAGGTGTACCAGATTGTCCAAAAGCTTGACAGGATCTGTTTGCTCTCCCTCAAATGACTTCACTGCAATTTGTACGTCGGACAGGATTGATTTCAAGAATGTCAGGTAGACATAGTTGGTCTTGTCCATGTACATGGCGTGGAGTAGATCCGCCATGTAGCAATGCTCACTGGCCTTGGTCAACTCAAAGTGGAGTTTCAGTTCTTCCCACTGGCTCAATATACGAGTTACCGCAGGCTCAATCGATAGCCAATGTGTGGCACACACTTTGGTGATCTGCAAGGGTTTCTGGCCACAATTAATGGTGGCATAAACTGCTTTGTATGCCTTGCGCCATTTTGGGGAAATCAAAAACCAGTTGTAGGTTTCCCTGATTAAGTACTCAACGCTCCTAGGGATGGTTTCTTTGGATGCTGCGTAAAGAATGGCACACACAGCAGATGAGTACCAAATTGGGCAATGCACATTCTTCCTTTAAAATCTTGTGCACCCCGTTGTGCACCCCAGTCATCACGGACGCATGATCAGTTCCAATACCCTGAAGATTCTCTTTTTTAAGGTTACACTTCTCAAGAAACTCAACTACTGCCTTTGCTATTGATCTGGCATCGCCCCCCTCCAATTCAACCAACCCGAGAAATGTGGACACAACGGTTATTTTTTTAGCACTGAAATACCGAATCACTGATCATCACACTGACATCAGTGGACTCATCCAAAAGGAGACTGAACTTCTCATCCCCCACATCTGATGTTTCCCTTTTGAGAAAATAAGGAGCCAGTACTCCCCTAATCATTTCTGTGCACTTGGTGCGGTGCATTTGGAAGTTTGTTGCTGCCACAGAATCTGAAAAGGCAGCTTTACAAGCCATACCTAAATGGTTGCATGCTAGCAGTGAACAATGCTCCGCAATGGCCATTGCCATAGTAGCTTCTGCGCTTTTGCAGTTATCCACTTTCTTAACCAACTGTGGTAATGTAGACTGTGTTGCGGGGTTGTACAGTTTTGATTGATTTATATGCTTTGCTGTAGCACAATGTTTTTTGATGTCATACATATTTGCAAGCATATCTGATTTGCAGTACGCACAGTATGCCCGACAATCCTCCTCAATTACTGGCTTCAGCCACACTTTAAATTCAGGTACAGACTCCCACTCTTTTTTGTACTTCTGGCTGTACAATTTTGATTGAGACATGTTGATTGATGTTGTAAGTTCTGTTCAAGCTCAAACATTTGTGACCAACTATATTCATTGTGTTTGTCTCGTCGAACGCATACTACTGCTGCTGCAGTCAGCCAACAATGATTTGCAATTTGCTGAAACTGCTGCTGGCCTGCTGCTGACGTCACTCACAATGCACTTTTGCAGCCAGGCACGTGTGTTGTGACTGAGTGTGTGACAAAGAAAATAGTTTTTGTGTCATTTAGAGGGAAAATGCGTGCATTTTAGCGTTTGAGTCACTTTAAAAAATTTGCTAAAAGTTCCAAATACATTTTTAAAAGTAGCTAAATTTGTTGCTAGGTGCTGTTTGAAAAAGAAGTTGCCAGGGTAGTCTGAAAAGCAGCTAAATCTAGCAACAAAATTGCTAAGTTGGCATCACTGAACTTGTCACCAACGCTATGAGTATTATTCATACAGAAATCACATCCAGTATTGTTAGACACTGTCTCTGGACCAGCTATAAGGCTTGGGGACCATGTAGGGGAATGCATGTTTTGCATCTGCTCAACACAAAACCTGTTCCTACTGGTTGGCCGCAAGAAGCTGCCCCTTTTACTGTCATGGTGAATGAGATGAGAATCTCATTTGTTGTCTCTGCAAAGAGGGCGTTTCAGGAATGAAGTAATCTCGAAGAGGGTATTCAATATGGAGAATTTATACTGCAGTGTTTGTTGTTGCCAGAAGATATCGACTACAGTTGCGCTTGTTTACACTTCCTGCACTGAGGTCGGAATGCAATCATGGTTACATCAAGACACCGTGAAGACGCCGGCAGATATTGGTCAAAAAACGTATCTCAATGCAGGGATGGGATATGCCACTGTACTCCAAATGTTACTTTTATCCACATTGCTCCATCGAGATGATTGAAATACTGCTAGTTTTCCCAGAAACTTCCCTTTTCGTCCTCATGCTAGCTACCACTAGCCACAGCAGCCATTATGGAATGGCACGTAGCGTTGAACAACAAAGGAGCTGATTGGCTGACACTGCCATTCTAAATGGCTGTGGTGGCTACTGCTATCTAGCATGAGGACGAAAAGGGCAGTCTTCTGTAAAACTAGCAGTATTTCAATCTTCTCGATATATCAGTGTTGAAAAGGTAACATTTTGAATACAGTGGCATATAGTAGGATTGTGCCGAGTAGTCGGACAAAACGAGTATCGTAACGGATATGGGCAATTTTGTGTATAACTCAACTGGCTGTCTGTAAAAAGAAGGGCGGGTTGTACGTTGATCCTGCAAGCTCTGATTGGATAGAGTGAAGCTGCATTTCTCCAGCCACTTGCTTCATAATTTCACCCGATCAGTTTTCCTTGCATGTTTTTGGTCTGATCATTTAGATTCAGTGGCAGTTGGTGCCGTTTAAGATGAGGGAGGATTATAATTTTTTTATGAGCATGGCAGCATAGGTTTAGGCTACTACATGATACTAGAATGTTCAATGTACCCATCATGAGGTTGCTACAACCTAGCCTATGAATGAAAGTGTGCAACGTCCAGTACCAGTCAAAAGTTTGGACACACCTACTCATTCCAGGGTTTTCCTTTCCTTTGACTATTTTCTACATTGTAGAATAATA